GGAGTTGTAATGATCTGCTGCGTGGTTTTGAGATGAATCATTTAAACAGCTTGCACTAACTCTCCTGTGAGGGCTGCCAGACCTAGGAAGGCTTTCTGCTGGTGTCCATTATGGACGTTAAGGTAATATGGAAAAAACAAGCTTGTTCTTATTTGCATTAAAAAGCAGCTAGAACTGGTTGTTTCATGCTGTTGGAAAACATTTTTACCCTTGTTTGGATGCTATGGTAAAAAGGGTTGCATTTTTTCAGTAGAGGGAATAATTATTTTTATCTATGTGTTTGAACTTCTTTACTCTGAAATCTAACTGCAACTCTTCTTGCTGAACTGTGTTTCCTGTGCTGTCTTAGGAAGCACAGGAATTGTTTGCTTGGGCCCTGCTGAGAAGAGAAAGGGCTTTTACAGTGAGAATTCTGAAACTTAGATTCTTGCTAGAGGAGAAAAGGATCTTTTTATTCTTTTGATTCTTTTGTAGCTTATGGAGTAGCAGTTATCTGCTTATGCTGTAGTTCTAACAAGGAATATACATTTCATAGTGTGCTGGTTTTGGCTGGGGTAAAGGTAATTTTCTTCATAGTAGCCAGTATGAGGCCGTGTTTTGGATTTGTGCTGAAAATTGTGTTGATAATTCTGGGATGTTTTAGTTACTGCTGAGCAGTGCTTACACAGAGCTAAGGCCTTTTCTGCTTCTCACACCACCCCACAAGGGAGGAGGCTGGGGGTGCACAAGAAGTTGGGAGGCGATGCAGCCGGGACAGCTGACCCCAAGTGACCAAAGGGATATTCCATACCATATGATGTCATGCTCAGTGTATAAACCTGGTAGAAGATGAAGGAGGGGAGGGACATTGGTAGTGACGGCACTTGTCTTCCCAAGTCACTGTTATGTGTGATGGAGTCCTGTTTTCCTGGACATGGCTGAATACCTGCCTGTTGATGGGAAGTGGTGAATGAATTCCTTGGTTTGACTTCCTTGCGTGCACAGCTTTTGCTTTACTTGTTAAATTGTCTTTACCTCAACCCACCAGTTTTCTGACTTCTACTCTTCTGATTCTCTCCCCCATCCTGCCAGGGAGGAGTGAGTGAGCAGCTGCGTGGTGCTTAGCTGCCGGTTGGGGCAAAACCAGGACAGTCCTCTTTGGCGTTTGACATGGGGCTTGAAGGGTTCAAGATAACAACCAGCTTTGATTGGAATGTGCTTAGCATCCATTTTAAAAAGCTGATCTAAGGAAAGGAAGATAGAATGTAAAAAATCCTACATCTCATCTATTACCCTGATTCTCTTTGAAATGACTTGCAGGCAACAAGGCTGTTGACAGAGGTCCTATCTGCTGTGAGAAAATAAAAAATAAAAAAGCCTAGTTCTTCAAGCAAAGAAGTGTCCACTAGTTTCAGAAGTTAGTTGTATCTGATTATTCTGATACAACTTTTGTAGTAAGAACATGAACTGTTTTTGCAATAGCAATATTAGAAAATGTAACTAGGGAAGAATTGCCCAGCACATTCTGCATGTTTTAACAAGCATGTAGCTCTGGATTTTTTTATTTTGTGTTGCCAGTAGGATCTGTTTGTTGTTAATGTCAAGAACAGCATGGACTTACAGACTTTCTTGAAGCACAGACTTTATATGATCAGATCAGAGTATACAATCAAGGTAACATAACAAAAGGAAGATGTTTGAAAAACTATTTGAAACCACAAATGATTTTTCCTTCAAAATTGACACTTGGCCTTGCTGTCTTTTTGGAAGAAGGTAGAATGGCTCGATATCTGAAAGCCTTGTTGGGTAAGCCAATTGCTTGCCAGATATTCGTGGTAGCCATCCTGGCTGTTTGTAGGCTTCTCTTAGGTCTAGATCCATGGTCCATTCTTTCCATAAGTTTCACGTTCCTTCTTTGTAGAGGTGGGATATTTGAGCATGTATAAGATGGAGAAAAGAAAAAGACAGACATGTCTTAGGTAAGTAAACAGCCATTATCCTCATTTTTGTTGCTTCTGGATCTGTTTGTTTAAAATGCTTCATTACTTCTTGAAAGTATAAGGACATTGGAGTGACTCCTCCTTTTGGGGGCTCCTTCTGAACACTGCTTCCCTAACCAATTTGGGAAGTTCTAGTCTCATTCTTCAAAAGAGTGCAACACTCCTTCAGAGGTATTTTCCAATTTTGCTGTAAATTAAGGCTATAGCCCTTCAAAACACTGTAAGTACAATTACATTCTTGAATTAGTTCTGCTGAAGTCCCTTTGGAATGAAGAGATCTTGAAAAATTACTCTGGTTTCATATTGTCCTTGGGTTTTACCACTTGATAAAATAAAGCGAATGTTCATGGAGGATAAGTCACTGCTTTCTATAATTTTTGTTTGTTGTACTGAGGAATATTTTCTTTTGATAGAGATCAGGAGACTGTTGGTCATGCTGATGGAAGTTAATGGGAAATGTTAGACTGTAGTCACATCACAGTGTGGGAGGAGTTGTTTCATAAAGCCAATCACACTGAAGATCATGGAGGGAACACCTAAAGGTAAGACAAAAAGAGAGAATTGTTCTTAGCGTATGAACTAATATGTTCTAACATTCTCCAAAGACATGGGAAATCTGTTACTAGTACCTCAACAAATGGGTAGCTCAGACTAAGTGCAGAAGAGTTACAAATTTGCTCCCATTTTGATGAAATTAGGAAAATTCTGTTGAAATGGTGAGCCAATCCACACTGAATACTTCTTGAGCAGCCAAAAAAGCACACAGAAATGTTTTAACTCCTTTCCAAATATGCTGAGCTGTCTTCACTTCCTATGTTCCACACTGTGGTCATCATCATGTGGAGGAACTTGGTTCTGATTTATACCATCCACTAATACTGCTACTCTCTTGTGTCACCTGTAATAGCAATACTTACCTAACTCCTGTATTTCCGTGTACTGGGGACAAAAGTCATCTCCATGAAACTTCAATTAAGCATTTTCTGGAAACAGCTCTATGTTTTGGAAATGGTGTCTCCATGTAGCTATGTAAGGTAAATTTTTTAGCTCAGTCGCACTCATGAATTTCATTCCAAAAAAAATCATGCTTATGGGCTTCTATTCATCAAATGCTCTGATGCATGTATAATCGAAGTATTAACATATGCATCAGCAAAAGACAATATTTGAGATGATTTTTGACAAAGCTGAAAACAGCTGAAATTAGTGATGTTGCAATTCTGTATGTTAGGTATAAATGTGACCTGTAAACTCTTTGCATCACTCTTCTGCTTGCTTTAGCTTCCTGGTGTTAAAGATCAGCTGTTCCAGCCTATCTGCATTCACTGAGAATTGGTAATGCACCATGGTTTAGCACAGCCCAGTCGCTCTGTCAGTGTGCTGCACCAAGCAGGCTGTGGGGCAGAGTGCTTTGGCATTTTCCCAAGTGCCACTCATGCAGAGCAGAGAGTTTAAAACTTCTGCCTGCAGGAAAAATGTTATGAGCCCCAAAATTAGGATCTGGCCCCAATAGTTACTTAGATGAAACTATTTTGAACCAGGATAAAATGGGGAAAGTGTCAATTTTTGATATGACAATACGGCAAATATTGTGATCGGAGTGTCGGTTTTAGTCGTAACCTTTTTTGTGGTCCACATGTGTTATTAGCACTCAGGATTACTAATGAAGGCAGTCATAAGCAGTGATGCTGGAGTTGGTGTAAAATGCCTGAACACCATCTAACTTCTCCTTAAGCAAAATTTGAGGATTGAAACAATGTGTAGCCTTTATGTTGAACTTAAAGGCCAAATATTTGTGTCTTCATTAATGGCAAATTTTGATTGTATTATAGATTTGTTTGTTTGTTTGTTTGTTTATTTACTTGGTCAGTTACACAGATTGTGTTGTGAAGGAGGGGAACTAATTTCCACCAAACTTAGATTACTAAGCACCATGGTATAAAGTATCGCTTTGTATCTAAAGTATCATCCATGACTATATTAGTTGCTTGGCCAAAAAAATCGTCAGAACCAACCTCCCCCTCTCCCTGATGAATTACCTTTTGCAATTAAATGTGGTAATTTCCTGATATGTTTCCTGACAATTTGTGAGCAATGACTATAGTAAAGAAATGTATCTGGTGAATCATTAGTTGCTAATTATTCATTCATTCTGACTAAATTATCTCCAGTCTGTTCAGATTTTTTGCAACCAGGTGAGTTGGCTTGCCTGCATTCTTCTAATCTCTAACATTTCAAATTTTTCTTGAGATCAGTGATTCAGAAAGCCATATGGGATTTTTTAATGTTAGGTACATTTGATCATCAAAAAAGTGGGGACACTTTTCAATCCTGGAGCCTGTTTGCTTTTCATCTCCCTTAAAGATTCCTTAAAGATTATAGATCTAGATACAAGAGAGGCAGTGTAATTCTCTGCCTTCCTGTTCCCTCGTTCTGCAAACGTAAATATCATCAGTGGTCAAAATGGAAAGTTAGGCATCCTATATGTGGAGATACAGACAACCTACTAGAGGATGTGTTAGTATGCCAATGTGTGTCTGTATGTTTGACATTCTGGTAAATACCAGTCTGGTACACTATTCAATATTCATCCATTTTGATCTCTGAATATCTCCTAAAATCAAGGGAATGCAAAATGTTTTTAACAGCTTGGACAAATACTCTACAGTTAGAGGTAAATTGTTATAATTCAGTGCATTTGTATCTGCTTCCTTGGTAACTGAAGGTCTTTTTGACTTTACTAAAACAAAAAAAAACCCCATGAAAAATAGTGCCCTAAAGTTTAATCAACCTTGATTGCTCTTCACCAGAAAGTTGGGCTGAAATAGATAAATATATCAATGGAGTAAAAATTATGGCCATGGGTACAATCTGTCTTACTAGATCTGAGTTTTTTGCATTTCGGACCAGACCCTTATGAAAATGATTGTTACTTCAAATGAGCTCTTGGCAGAAGATATAATCTTGACTTTACCTTTGGGTACATGTGCCCAAAGCACTTAACTTACCTCTTCTTATGTCCTACATCCTACATTCTCTTGTCCAGTAGTGTACTAGGACTGGGGAGACCAACTGAGTAAATCTCTCCAGTGGACAGCGAAATTTGCAGCCAGGGAGAGTGAGGGGGTGAGGATCTCTCAAAGAATTATTCCGATAGTACATCTCTATGGTGTATTGCCTGTTTCAAAATACAGATGGGTCAGAATAAAGTTAGGTATGCAGAATCACCACAGCCTTTCCATATTGTAGTGGTTGTACTTTGGAACAAATTTTTAGCCAGCTTATTTGTCTGGCTATTAATATGTATCATTAGTACTCTGAAGAGATCTTTTTAAACAATAGATAGTCAACACTAATTTGCATGTAGTTTGTGTTCTTGGTAGAGAATCAAGGAGTTAAATAGATCAAAAGGGTAGGGTAAAACCTCTCATAACGGTAATGAAGCAATATAGAGAGTGTTTTCAGGCTGCAGTGCTGTGATTCTGCTACTGTCAATAACTGCTAGAGTCCAATTATAATAATTAAAATCAATCTATAATTTTTTCCTGTGTAGTGAACCTTGCGTATCCAGTTTAATTAGTCTGGGGTATCAGCAAATTGCTTTTTAGGAAAAGTGTGTGTTAGCGTACAGTTTGCAGTTACTTGCCCATTTTTTTCCTGGTAAAGTTCAAAAAAATGACAGGCACTGTAAGGAGGCAATTTCCCACTGAAGACATTGAGTGCCATCTGTAAGGCAACAATGGTGGCTGCATGCTGTAAATAGAAGAAACCTTTAATTAAAGGCCTATTGAAAATGATTGTATGTACCTATTGTTTAACAGTGTATCCAGCACATTATCTGTCCACTTAGCATTACTTGCGTGGCCCCATTAATACTTGCCCTCTGCCCCCTGCAACATTGAGCAAATACTGCCTTTTTACTGTACAAACTGAAATGCTGCATGTATAAAGTATATATATATGTAAATATTTAAGAAGTCTTAGTCACTTGCGGTTCTTATCAAGGTTAGTAGGAGCTCTTAAAACTTCTGTTAAAAAAACTAGTGGTTTTGCACGTTAAGTAAGCAGTATTCAAAATCAGATCAGTAAGCTCTTTGGCTGATATATACCAGATAGGTTGTAATCTAACTGCAGTTTAGAAATACAAGCTTTTTACTGAGAGCAATCCAAAAATTTCCTTCTCCAGTGGCAGTTTTTGCACATTCTAAAGAAAAATATAAAGTCACAATTGAGTAACTGCCTTCATAAGACCTTCTAAAATAACTAACTTAATCTTTCTTTCTTTCTTATTTTTTTTTTCCTTTTGCATCTGGAAAAGATGCAGGAATCAAGAGGTTTGTTTCTAAATTATCTTTGTGATAGAGGTTCAATAAAACATGAGGCATGTTTTTTTTCCAATTCTCTGCTCAATCAAAACAATGAAACAAGCCATGACATCAGGTGGAAAATTGAATGTTGCAGATTTCAGAGTGAGTAGTATCTGTTCATTAAAGAATGAAAATAATCCATTGATATTTAAGGTTAACCAAATAAAAAATGCTTGTAGCTATATTTCATGAATGAAATAAGGTTTCATGGCTTTCACTGCATTTAATTACTGCTGAAAGGGAGCATAAAAGAAACAGAAAGGACTCACCGCAGAATACATAACCATTTTTTGCTGGTGTGAAGGCTTTCTAGCATCTGAGATATGCTTTAGAATATTTTTTAAAAGAATACCTGAAAGAAAATGGGAAAGCAATGATAATGAAAGGGATGCTTGTGTTAACATCAGTATCAGTTGGTAATGTTTTAACACAATCTGTCTTTAAACATACCAGATTTACTCCATTGTAACTTTATAGGTAATTTGTGTGGAGTGCCCTGGCTAATTCTGATACTATCTTTTATATGAACAGTGGGCCTGTTTTACTTCTGTGTAAAATGTTTTGGGGATCCCTAATAGCCTCAACAGCTTTGAACACGTATTCACACAGTGAATTCACAGTGTATTCACAGCTGCTTTGTGTCAGCAGAACAGTGCAAGAACAGCACAGTAATGAATAGTACCCTCTTTTGTCTGTAACTCCATTGACTTCCTAATTTCCAGAGAAAAAGAAAGAGCACATACTTTAGACTCTGGGCCTTCCTAAATTATGTGCTTGTCTGTATTTTGTTAATGTTAATTGCTGAAAAGTTGTAAGACAAACTAAATGAATTAAATCAATGGCTGTGCTAGTATGTTAGCGTAAGGTTGGAATCTCCACAAATTAAAATCCTAAAATGAGAGCTATACATGCTGGCAGAATTAGGCACATGTATTTTCTTCAGCCACTGTCATGTTTTTTAATAGCAATTGTTAGCAAAGCAAGAGCAGAGGCTTGAACCTCTTAGTATACAACTTGCTTTGTTTTGTATGTTATCTCCAAAAAGGCAAACAATTTAATCCGTGCTTATATGTGATTGTCCTTGTAGCTCACAGAGCCTGACTGCACAGTGTCCATATAAAACAAAAACGCAGCCCAAAGGGTGACAGTGGATGAATGGAGGAGAATGAGTGATTAAAAAAGTATAAACTATTTTTAAATTTCAGCTACTATTTGATGAGTTTAGAAGCAGTTTATAATCTCATTTTAGTACTCTCAGTAGTGGAATATGAAGACTATTAGGCATCAAAGTTACCATCCTAAAGATTATTAAAAATAATATTTTTTAAGTAAGTAAGTTAAGCATGGTGGCTTACATTAAATTCAGACTTGATTTCGTTCAGCAAGTATCTGTATATTACTTTGGATTTCTTATACAGTGTAACCAAAACGGTACCACCTTTATAATGTTGGATTAGGATATTTGTGATTCATATCCTCATCATCTCTCCTCCTATTAATCAAAATCTTTCAGTGTTGATCACCAATATCCACATCATGGCATCTTTCATAGTTCTACTATGGAGTCAGTAGCAATGTTTACTATATACCCTTTCTTCTTTCCCATTCTACTCTTGATTTTAAATGGGGTAAGAATTTGGCTTACCTCCCTGCAAACGTGATTTTTGTGGTTGTTTGTGGAACCCGAATTCCGCTTGTATTAACAATTCTGAGAGCTTTATCAGCTTGGTCCTGACACCATGAGTGGCCCAAACAGGTAAAGTGTAATTGTTAATATCCTACAGCGAAGAAAGAAAACAGAGATTTTTTTACTGATTCCTACTGCTAAATTTTGTTCTGACACAAAATGCTTGTCAGAACAAATTCTGAATGTTTCACTCAAGTAACATTTTCTCTTTGTAATAAAATAATGACTCTATTTTGCATTTAGACAGCTGTAGAATTCTTATTTATAGTATCACACTGCTTAAAAAAATTTGAAGGGCAGTCTTCAAGAAGAAGAGGAAATATAATACTAAAAATGATTATGCAAAAAGAGACACATTATTTATGCCAATTGCTAATGCACTTGTCAAGTGAAAACATTCAGTTTATGACTCTTTCAGCCATCGACTGAGATATATCTGAGATCTTTACTGAAACAAATCATACATAGATGTCAGGATTTTAAGGGCTGGCAGCTGTGAGTTGTGAGATTCAGAGGTCAAGTAGGAATATGTATAGCTGTAATTCGGAGGTACCAGAGTATGAAGTATATGTATAGGCATTAGACATGTAGATGGAATTCCTACCTATGTATACCAGGTCTATTGGATACTGACGCAGTCCTGAAGTGGAACGGATTAGTCTTTCCTTAAGGACACAGCCCAAGATATATTAATGGTGACAACTGCAAGAAGGGAAGACATGCCCAACACTCCTGGTTTGCACTACCCTGATTTCCTGTTTAAACAAGGTTGGTATCTTTGCTTTAGTTCAGCATAAACTCTGTGAATGTGAGCCATTGGACTGAGCTCACCAGAGGGAGCGTTCTTGTAACAACGAGTTCTAAGGAAAATGCCACCTACTTACAAGATTTGTTTAAATAAGTGAAACAATAGAACCCGTTAGGTTAAATCAGCTCAGGTCACAATGTATCACTTTCTCTTTTAACAAATGTGATTTGTGTCTTGAGGAAAGAATTGGCTAGTTGTATGTTATTTAAGACAAGTGCTGTAAGCAAGCAAGCACGCACCTCAGTCTGAAAGTTACCTGAAAGTCAGATGACATTTAACCAATAATAACAAATACAGAGATGCATGCTACTGTAGTTTCATGAATTGTATTTTGAAAACTGTGTAAGAAAGCTGTCTTTGTATGCTTGAAAGAGTGACAGTGGCTTTTGTGGCAGATGTCTTAATTCATACCCTCAGAGTCTTCACTGAGTAGTATGAAAGACCAAAGCTCATCAAATCTAACACTAGAAGGAAAAACCAACTAATTGGTTTTGTCTTCCAGCATTTAGCTAGATCCCTGATGGAACCTTTCAATTTTGCACATTTCTCTGGTGACATAGGTTTCTCAGTATGATATAACAATTAAAATAAAAAGTTGCGGTCCCAAGCTGTCTTGCATTTGGAAAATATGGAAGGGTAACTTCACTGAAATTACAGTGAGGTGTCCCAACATGTTACATGTCATTTAACATAAGACCCTGGCTAACATTTCATTCAAGGCTGCTTCAACCAAAGTTGAACCTTGGCAGAAACTGCAGGACAGAAGGTAAACTCAGTAGCATCACACCCAACTATTACATGTTGCTTGTGAAATCCACCTTAAAACTGGCTCAGTTTTCTAGGAGATATCCCAGGAGATATATGACTAACTTATCATTAATATTTTAGTTTAAAAATAATTCTACATGAAAGCATTTATAGTGAATGCTGCCTACAACAATAAAGTTTTAAAAGAAGACTCGGAAATTTTCACTTGCTTCAGCTAAGTCTAGACTTTGAAGTAACATGAAGTAGGGCTTGCTGCTAAATTAAGGGCACTCACGATTTTTTCAAATCCCAGTCAGAGGTACCAACCAAGAGACCCAGATACCCATGACAGTTTGGCACCACAGTACCACTTTTGTTATGAAATCCATGCTTCTTTGTCATGTGCCTGGTTCATTTGCTTAGAACGGGCTCCCAGACTTGCACAAATAGCCTTTTGTGTCATTCCAATGGCTGCTCAGTTCCTGAAGATACTCTGACCACTACTGTCCATATGCAAATAATGACTTCTCACACTTATACTATTTGCATAAAATCTTTGTGGAAGGATGCTTCTGTTTCTTTGCCACCGACATATTTTACTCCTGTCTATGCCTGTGATGGGATTTGGAGGAGTAACAAGGCAATTTTATCCAAAGGTATGCTTTTGCCTAATTCTCCATATGCAGTCGCTGACAGGGTCTTGGATTTGATAGGCCATTGGTTTGTGTTCCTTATAGTGGTGGACAACCACAGCAGCCGCACACAGTCATAGTGTCTTTAAAGGATTTTCAGGTCCAAGTCTGATGTTAGGTGATAATTTCTGGGGAAGAAGCTGAAAATAGTCTGTAGTTCAAAAAAGTTTGGAAGCATAGACCTACTATGCTCTGTTGATGTCTGGCAAACAACTGAAATACGATATAAAACCAGTTTTGAGGAAGTGTAAGTATTTCTATTGGACTATGGGAATTTTCTTTATATTACTTACCTCATATTGCAAAGTGTCAGAGAGCTTCCAAATTCTTTCAGTGTTCAACTTCTTCAATGGGTATCCTGTATGAGTGGCTAAAAACTTCAGAAATGGCTGGAATACAAAAAAGAAAACTTCTATGTTGTCCACAGTGCCTTTTTACATCATTCCTACACACTGCCATACTAGTACATAGTGATTTTTAGAAGCAAGATAGTCTTTGCACTTAAGCACCAAACCATTGCCTAATGGTAAGAGAATTTGGCCTATTCATCTAGACAAGGTTGCTGATCTGAGTTCAGATTTGGAATATGGTGGTGGTTTATGCCTGGTGGGAATGATCAGAAGAGGATAGGGTACAGACAACATGTATATGAGGAAGTCTAGCAGAAATCCAAAAAGTGGTTAAAGGAAGTTTGATAAATAGAGCTATTCTGATGTTGGTACTGAGCAGAAAGAAGGTATGATGTAAATTTGGTAAAACTGGGAATTATGATTCACTTGCATGTAATACCCAGAGGCAGAGCCAGGGATGGATGGCTGACATCAGTGGCTAAAGATTATAGAAAAAACAGGTGAGTTTGATCATGTCATCTTGAATAAACCTGTGAAGAAGAAGGTTACAGCAGAATAGACAAGTGATTACATACTCATAGCAAAGATTTCGATGGTGGAGAAAGAAAGGAAAGGATACTTTACAGAGGCAAGAATGAAACATAAGTGAGCACTTGAATGAAGACTTTGAGTGTGAGACACAAACAGGTACTTGAGGAAAGCACTGAGACTATTATAGAAAATCTGGAGAATTGAGCTGTGAGCAATTTGTGGTGTAAGAGGAATATGAACTAGCAGAGAGATATAGACAGAGACATCAGAGGAGTTGCTTTACATGGGAGTAAACAGAGGTACTGGAGTGATCTGATGTGTTGACACTGATTTGATCTGAGTTTTTGTTTTGTCTGCTCTCCTAGAAGGTAGGTGGAGTGGTTTTTTGCAAGGTAGTCAATAATTTATCTTTTCTGTGACTTGCAATTTTCAGTTGATGGGAATAGCCCAGTCCAGCTGGCTCTATAATGTTGTAATTGCTTTTTGGGTATGTTGTCTACATCCACTGTGAAGATTAGAGATGTGGAAGGAGCATATTGACTGCCATTTTTTAAACCTAACCGTTAGGTAACGCTGAGAGAAGTGGTACATTTTAGGTAGAATTCCAGACCTGAATATACTTTACCCTGTACTGCTTGAGCTGCCTTTGGAAATCCCTTGTCGCAAAGGTTTCTCTTAGAAGCTCATTGTATTTTGGGCAGTGTGAGAAAGGTAAGTATAGCAACTGAAAAGAAAATTGCAAATCATTAGTTAGGCAAGGTGCTTCTTGTTCTGCAATTAAATATATCCTTTCAGGATTGTTGTTCTGATTGGCTGCACTAGTTAGGACATGCTGAAAAATAATTTGGATATGTAGTTTTCAAAGATACTCATCTTCAGGACTGTAAGAGTCATACTGATGACTACTTACTTACAAAATAATCTGTAAATGTTCAGAAGAGTAATAGCTGCAGTAGTTCAAAGTTAAAGGATTCATTTACACAAGATGAAATTTGTCCCTTGACAGAAGACTAACACAAGCCCTCACAAACTGTTTTGTGCTTGGCTTCCCCGAGGATGATTTCACTCATTGTGTTCAGTCTTTCTTTAAACACACGGTCACCTTTTTCCAACAACTTACCAAGCAGCAGCTGGACTGCAATAGGAGTCTTTGTACACACTCAGCTGTATTGAGTGGACTTACCATAGCTTCATTTAGTTCGGCTAAATTGTAGAAACTTGTGAAGTTTTTATGACTCAGATTTGTCTTTCATTAATTCAAGACATATGAAGGTGAAAGGTTACATGTGATTGGGATAACTGAAGAATTTGTTAATCCATTTATCTAAGCTAAACTGAGTTTATTCTTGTTTGAAGTTTTTTGTGTTAAATTTTAAGCAAAAGTTAAAACAAAATCTGACACTGAGATATTCTTAGTGTTTTTCTCTAACGCCCTTTTTGTCCTTTTTCCAGTAATAAAGCTCTATCTATATAGTCCCACAGTTAAAAGAACTTGTAAAGACTGAAGAGTCCTGCAGGGATAATTAACTTGGAAAGCTTCACAGCAGTTCCTCAATCTTTTTAGAAATATGTCTATTCCAGAAGGTAGGAAAGTATTTCTGAATCATAACCATAGGTTCATGAACAGCCATGACTTTACCAGTAAATGATGGACACTGGTTTTGGGTAGCAGGATATATATGGTCTCATGCTTAACCTGTATATGTAGTAAAGATTAATAGAGTTAAAACACAAATAGATGAAAGAAGTATGAAAAATGTGTACATGTTCATGACTTTATGATTTGTTTGAATAAACTTACTTGCTCCCCTAGATGTGAATGAGGTGCAGCACCTGCTTGCTGAGTTTGCTAGTGGTGTTGACACTAGCCAGGTATTCTTGCCTGTGTGCTGGGGTACCACCATCTGTGACAGTGTCAGAAGCAACCCCTGACTCTATGCCAGGCTGTGTGCATGAACAGGAAGACGTGTGTCTCCACATCCTCTGTCTTCATGCTGTCATCACCCCAAGGTGAGAACCATTGCTCAATTTCCCTATTTAACCTGATTCCCCTATCATCGCAGACTGTGTTAACAAGACTTGTAAGCCCACACAATTTATCTTGCATCAAATGTGCAAACCTCGTCTTCCAAACTGGAACTCATGCTGTACACTCCTGATGTTTCCTAGCTTTTAACATAGGTTTTCCACAAATGGGAAACTCCAGCTCCACTCAGCCGCCCAGCTTCCCCCTCTAGTACAAGTCTATGCAGACTATAGAGCTGCTATCCACACAATTCCTTACAGCTCCAAGGTGAGGAGTTGAGGAAGGAAGATGAATGAATATATTGCCCTATGAACTCATAGTCTTAAAGCTCCAAGTCCTCCTTCCTTTTCCCTTTTACTTTTTCCACCAACCCTCAAAGTGCATGCACTGACCTTCAGAGAGCATGAAAAACAATCCTGTGACTCAATTCTCACTGTAATGAAAATCTCAGAATAATTCTTTTGTCTTTTCAATTGCCTGTGGACTAAGAAATGTTGAAGCACTAGTGAGATAGGTATGCTTCCTCTTCTCACACAAAGAAAGTCATGTTTGTGATAAGTTTAGGATTAATCTACCTCTGTAGTGGTTGACTCACATTATAGGTGAATTCTTTTTTTCTGTACCTAGGACTTCTGGTTTTCTTCCTTGTTTTGTTAACTCAAGGTCTCTGATATGTAAGTCCATTCCTGTGGAAACTCTTGACAATATTTCTACTCAGCTTATTAAGTCTTGCTGTACAATGCTTGTAACATAATCTATTTTTCATCGCCTTTACCATGCCCTTTATCCTGTCCCTTCATCTCATATCCTAGGTATTTTACTAATGATCAAGGGAAAGCAAATGCCCCTAGTTTATACTCACATTATCATGTGAAAGTGGTACAGTGTGAACTGGAATTGGCTGCCAAAGGATTTTGGGGTTCCAAATCTGGCCCTGTGTCGGTGGGTACAGCCCGGCAAGACTGGCCTGAGCACTCATAAGCGTGTGATCACAGTCAGTGCTTTGAACATAAATCTGAAGCAAGAAAAAAAAGAGGAAAATGTTTTGGAAGGTAATTTCTCCTCTTAGGTTTGGGGTTTTTTTTCCTCTTGGTACAAAAGATGGGGACTGTTACTGTGCTAGGGAAGATGGCCTTAAAGTAGACTGCGATGAAGGACCATGAGGAAGAAGGGAGAGGGAGAAATAGTGAAGCTGAAATAGGGCCTTGGAATAAAATTTTGGTAGACAGGGGAGCTGCAATATAGTAGCAGTTCCCTTGGGAGTCCTGGTGAAAAGTGTAAGATCAACTCCATTTGACCATCTAGGCTTTGGGACATTGTGTATACACTGAACAGCTGGACCCTAAATGAAAACTAAGCTGTATCTGCACCCCATATGGAAGTGTAGAATTGGAGATTTCTGACATAGGTACTCTGCCATACAACAGTGAGGCATCCGAACCTGATATACAGCCTAAAAAACCTTTCACATGGTTTTCAGTTAACCATTAGCCTGAATAAAAGTTGAGCCACAGTTTCAGGGATACTTTGAAATGACATTGAATTCAATGGGTATTAAGTTACCTCCAGCCATACCAGGTTCAGACTCTCATGCATTCAGGAAGTCCCATTAGCATCCATGAAAAACATCCTCCCTCCCAGATCCAGTACTTGCCTCACACTGCTTGTATACAACATTCAGGAAATAAGAGTATCTCCTCCGCATGTACTGGCCAAGCTCATACTGTTGCTGTATGCCAAGCTGTAGAAGTAACAGAATAGTGTCAAAGGCTCAAGAAGTGCGCTATGCATCCATTCCTACAACCAAAAAATGAGATAATATTTCATATTATTTTGATAAAGACCTTTTTCCTTTCTAAAGTGAAGGAGGAAAGAAGACAGGAGAAAAATGCAGTGAAGTTGCTGCATTTACAGTATTGGATAATATTAGATATGTCTTCCTAATGGGTACAATTTTGTATTTTGCTCTATGGAAAGTTTATCCAAGCTGGTAAGACTGGCTGAGGGGCAGGGTGACTTAAAGCAGGCATAGAGATGTCCCAACACCATCTGTCTAATTTCTGTTCTATTGCTGGCTCACAGCTGATTAACAGGGAGTACAGACAGAGCAACCACCTGTCTGTGAAGACACATACAGGATATAAATCCCATAGAATATCACCAGTGATTCCGTATAGAGGCTACAGTTTTAGCTTGAGCAAGATCTTATTTTTCAGGAAGACAGAAAATCTTGACTAGAAGATTTCCAGTAAAAGTCTTCCAAGTCTTCAGGTATTTTGCTGCAATGGCTGATTATTATTGGCAGTCTGAAACATTTGATTCTTGGTTCTTGCCTACGTCCCTAGCTTTCAGCCACTGGATCTTGTTATGCTTTTGAATGACACATTCTTTACCATCACAGATCTTATTCCCAGTAAGATAATAATCAGTAGGATGAAATCAAGTTACTTAATCTCTGTGTTAAACGAAATAGATGACAGTTCTCTACTCTCACAGCAAAATGGGTTTTCCAGCCTCAGCATTTTAGTAGCTCTTTGCTGAACTTACCAACATAATTTTGTAAACACATGACATGAGAATCACATGCAATGTCCCTGTAATGGACTCAATATTGTCATCTTTTTACCTGTACCTGGTGTTTCCTGGCCTAAATTGAAATGTATTCAACTTGGCTCATATAATCATTACTCTCCACTGGGATCCCAAGTACAGTGATTACTCATTGTGATTGCTTCCTAAAGTCCTTTTGTAAGTCATAAGATCATAGGATAATTCAGGTTGAAAGGGACCTCAGGATGTCTTTAGTCCAACCTCCTGTTCAAGGTAGAGTCAGCTATGAGGTCAGACCAAGTTACTCAGGGCTTTATCCAGAGTGCCAGAGATGGCCCACAGTGTGTGCATGTGATCAGCTCTTTCTGTTGCTGGAATTGTGCATCCAGAGTTTCCTAGGGTATGTGCTTGGCCTAGGCTTCTGCCTGAACCTGCCTAATATGCATGTTGTTAAATCCTGACACCAGGGTTTTGAAACCTTCTGCGCCCTGGAGCAAGTTGGCATGTATTGCTGAACTCACATAGTGTGTATGTGGCATGATTGAGTCATAGCTGAGTTAAGGCATAGGAAGCTGGTCTATTATTCCTGTTTCTTCAAGGGAGGTGATGTGAAAGGAAAGAGGCCTGACCTTGCATTGGAGATTGGTATGGCCTCCTAAGAATGGCAAGGAAGAGGAGGAACCCCTCAGGCAGTTTGTTCTATTCAGATTTTGGTGGAGACCTGGCAAAAGACTAGGAGAGAGAAACATGTGTGTTGTGCTGGACCCACTGGACATAAGGGTTTGGGGCGAACTTATTCTACAGCAGCCTAATAGAGACACACACCTCACAGTCTGCCCACACAGGCACAATAGTCATTTAGCTGGGACATCTAGAATTTTGGCACATCTGAACTACTTCAGTGAGGCTGCCTGATTCCCTGAATCCTGGGCAAATAACGAGTAGATTTTTTCCATCCAAACAACATATCTTGGAGAAAAAGGAATGAAGTACAGACACAGTGGGTCATGCTGGTGGGAGCAGAGCAGAAGTAGCATTAAAACTACCTAGTACTCACGTATTCCCTTACAGCCTGATAGTATGGGAGTTCGTTCTTGGCTCCATTCATAAGAGGAGGCAGCTAATACAGTTAATGCAGAGACACGGTTTCTGCAATTGGACTCTGCAGTTGCCTTAGCTGCTGCTAGTTACTGCCATCAGCTGATACCTGTGTGCCAGCTCAGCTCTGCTGTATTCCGTCGATACCTGCACTAAAATAGCTGAGCTTTACGTCAACTTTCCCTGGCATAGCATGAGAGAAGTTTCTGCTAGTACTTCATGAGCTCATCGTTTGTAGTTCATGGGCTGGGAAGCACTCCTACTCAGCAGAGATTGAGGGTGGTCTGCTACGTTATGCTACTGATGGTTAAAGCTTCATCTTTGGTCTCAGGGGAACTGAGGTGGTCACCAGTGCCTGGCTCCTCCCAGCTGACCCTACTCTGCAATCAAACAGCTCAACATATGCTGCTATAGGACCAGAACAGGCTGACTCAGGGTCATTTAAAATCAGTGACTGCTTAGTTGTAGCTTCCTGGTAAGTTTTTTGGCTGTCCTTTTGGAGATCTGTGTATGGCAACCTAATATAGACTTTCTCCAAGTGAAAACAAAGTTCCAAAAAACAAATATCAACAGGCCACATTCCAGTATTTCAGTATATTGGCCCACGTAAGCAAACGCACCTTGGTAAGCTGTCCATATCCCTGCTGCTTTGCAATTTCTTTGTGCTTGTCAGTTGGAAAAAACTCCTGTGGGGTATGATCACCATGGCGAAATACCTGATAAAATAGATGGAGTTCCCTTCATGTTATTGGCATTTTTGTGATGGACATAATTAATGCAATCACAAGGAATATGTAGTGGCAGTGAGTACTGTATCTGACAGATGCTAAATATATTCATGGTGCTTTTCTTGGGTCTAGGTAGCTACAATAACTGTTTGATTTATTTAGACAAATGTAACTCTTCTTCTTTTCCTGGCATTTGAAAAGTAATTAGCTTAAATAATTTTTTGCAAGTTATAAAAGCTATAAAATATATTAATATAGTTTAAAGAGGTTTTATATATTTTAGGGAGTATAGACCAAAACATGAAATAGTCAGAAAACAAACAGAAGCATTAAGTAATTTTCCAGAAATATTAGGACATTAATATTTTGGTAGGACTAACTGGGAATTCAGAAGGAAAAAACCCCAGACTACTGTTCTAGATACAGTTTCTGTGGCTGACTGCTGTGAAGCACTCTTTCTTGGAAGAAATTAGCCTTAAAAAGCCACATGTTGACTTTTTCATCACAAGAGGTGATGAAAGTGTCATCTAATACCTAAATACAGACTAAACTGTTACTCTGAAAACATTGAACCTGTTCTGGAATTTCACTTCAGATAAAAGATACATCTATAAAGATACATAGAGATTTTTCATTCTTGCAATTAATTCTTTCCTTGTCCAGCATAATTCCTGTAGATATATGTCATATAATTTTGAAATTTTACCACTTTTTTTTAATTTCTTAATCCCAGCAGGGAGAAATAAAATTGAAAACTGCAGCAAAGTGATTTACAAGCATGTTCGATGTTCAGAACAAAATTCAAGCTTCCTGCAAACAAACGGTACGTCATAATCATTGCAAATAGCATTAGTTTCACAGCACTGGTTCTATGTTTCTTATTCAATGCCATTGTACACTTGTTTGGGTTTAACATAATGAAATTTCATTTGCTTTTTAATCCACTGAAACCATTGGAAGAGTGGAAACTTTTCCATGGTAAAGAGGGCTTTTGCACAGTTGATATTTAATTATGAAATCCTCTTTCACAGTTTAAAAAAGAATCCTATGTAATTCCTCTCTTAGTGCTATAAAAGAAGCCTTCTTTGTCAATCCAGAAAGTTAAGCTCATCTAGGACTGCACAAAGGAGACAAAACTACAAAATCTTATTTAAAATTGCAGATTTTTTTTTGTACAATGCAATAGTGAATTTTGAATGTGCAGGAAACAAATAGTCACAAAGTGCTTCCTCCCTCCGACCCTAGAGTACAAGAAGAGCAGTAAGTGACAGGTTTGGAAGACATTCCATTTGCCCATGAACCACATACTTACTATGGACACAAACTTCAGTTTTCTTTTTGCTGTGGTTTGGTGAAGAAAGATACAGAAAAGGCAGAACATGAAACAAAGACTCCAGATTCCACATGCCAGCTGCCTTGCTCTCATCCTGAAAGTAACTTTCAGCTATTATTTCAGGTATTTTGCACACCAAGGTCCCTGGCTGGATCTGGTGATAGAGTAGATATGTGGCTAAGAGGGGAGGAGTTGGCTGTGCTCAGTGAAGTCCAAAAGTGGGCGGTGGTCTTGCCTCCTCCTCCCTTTTTTCCCTTCTTGGGTTAGTGCTTTTCAGGGCATTTGTGAAATGAAAAGTGTATTTTGCACTTGTACTCAATTTCTGTGTCCCGTGCATAACATGAAATGGAATCCTTGAGCCCTCTAATTCCTGCCCCTGGCACCTACAAGGCAGGTGAACGTAAAGAACTAGAAGTTGCCTTCTATTGTTTAGGCTAGAATTTAGTATGGGTCAGTCAGCCTTCTCCAAAGTGAAAATGCTGCAGATATGCTGTCTCTTGCTGTATGCAAAAGAGCTGAGAAACCAACGTCATTCGTAGTGCTCTTGTCTTCTCTGGGCACTTTGTACTAGAAAACTAGAAGGAGCAGTGCTGACAATTGTTCTTTTATAAAGGATCTCTGGATTTTTCCTTGGATTTGGCTGTGGTCTTTAGGAGGAATAAACAGCAGAAGGTTTTGTTAAGCCTAAATTCCCTGGGGGGAAAAAAAAAAAGATACATGGATGAACTTTCATCTCTACAGTAGATTGACTACGTTTCTAGTGGCAAAGCCTGTGGCACTGTTTTCTAGAACTATCCCCCAGAATTTCATACAGTTAGGTAAATTTTTTATTTTCAAATTTCTCTTGCTGCAAACACTCTCATTGTTACAGCATGCATAAATCAAGAGTTGTTTCTGTCATTTCCCCAGTATATTTTAAATAAAGAAAAAAAATCTAGCTCAGATACAATGTTGCAAGAGATAGGATTATTTTACAAGCTTATTGGTCTATGCTCAGTCACATTCATGTGTTAATGAAAGGCTTGTTAATGTGTAAAAATTGAGGGTGACTTCTTAGTGATGAAAAGCTCTCTGTATGTAAGAATTTAAAAGAAATTACTGAAAAAGTAATCATGTTTCTACCCAGAAAGGTTATATAATCTCAAGCTAATTTAAGGCACAAATAACAAAGCTTTCCTTTGTAATTATTAGATATAGGCTGGTCTAGAGGGATCAGTTCTCTGTCCTGAAGTAACAATGCTGTATCTTTCACATCTGTCAGAGCTAAAGAGATTCCTCTCTGAAACATTCAGAGGACTTTCAGACTTTCTTGGTGCAAGATGGTTCGTCTGTCATTTCTGCTTTTGTGCCTGACAAGTCTAACACACTCATGCAGAAATAGAAAAATGTAGGAAGCTGCCCACATTTATTGAGAAAGAATTTATTATTTTTTTAATGAAGGACCTGGGGGAGATGTGGGTCAACTGATTAAAGCTATTCACACCCATACATTTTCCTGCCTCCACTGGCTGTCTTATTTCAAAAATCTCTTTGAAAAGAGTATGTGTTTTGCCGTTTCTAGAGGACATGACATCAGGTGACACTCCTAAAATACACTGCTCTGCAAGGGAAGGTTTTTAATTAGACCAACTGGTATCACTGATTTAAAATAGGCAAGTTCTCAGAATCGCAAGGCTCCATTTAGGTTCTTCAGATACTGTAGATATGTCTAGCAGGGACAGCAGATGTACAACAGGAGCAGAAATGTTTAACCTTATTCTTTTCAAGCACCCATTGCCTGACACTTTATGTGAGATTTCTTTAACAAGGAGGGTGAGATTACTCTTAGTTTGCACACGACAAAATATTAACGTAAAAACTGATACTTGCTTCCTCTGATCTGATCTTGGTGGTACTAATTCTGTGGGAAGAGACACATAAAGGACTGGAGTTATTTTAAAGTGCACCACATCATTGGTTAACTCTGTTCCTGATAAATAAAGAGTGTGCTGTGCCATGTTATTGTCATTCCTGAGAGTGAAGCTCTGGAGAGCAGGAGATGGAGCTTTCTTGGCAGCTAACTCATACCTGCAGAAATCCCTTGTTGTGGGTGGTGAGAGGTGTGAAAACTACAGCACTTTCAACGTCAAGGTAGCTGATTCTTTAATATGCCTGGAGCCTGTGTTAAAACAACAGTTGAAGGGGGAAAAGGAGGAGGTAATGATAGAGACAATAAATGAACCTCCCTCACTGCCTTGGAAGTACAAAGGAAAATACATGAGGTGTAGATCATATGCCTTTATCTTACCAATAAACTTGAAGAAATGTTTATGGGATCATTATAAACACTATTAAGCAAGTAAAAGTACAGATTTGTGTTGTGTCCTGTATTGTGATATCTGAAAAGTCAGTGTGTTAAATGCTGCTGGATCTACATTGGTTAGGGAATGTAAGTTTTCATTAACAGTCCTTCAATACTTTCAAGTAGGTTCATGGTTTAAGTGCTGTTATTGTATTTAAAAGCTTATTAGTCCAAAGGACAAAAATTGGGTTCTCTACGCCCAAACTGCAATATGAAGAATCTTCTCCAAGCTGTGGTGCTTATCCTCTCCCCTAGCTTTTGTTAAGTGTAGTGCTAAATCTGCTTGGTATTTAAACACAGTGTAGGACTGGATTTGCAGCTTGAGGTGCAACTTCTTCATTGACAGTGGAAGAGGATCAGAATCAGCTGAAGATACACTGATAAGTATGTTAGAAGACTGCAGTGTAGAATTAGTGAGGGGAGGAGGCAGGTGTAGGAGGACTTCAACCTTCCCACCCTACCTCCCCTCCTTCCCCTTCCCTGAAATGTCCCCTAGTAGGATACTTGCTCCAGCCTCTGGTGTTGAAGTCATGACTCTGTGGCTTTTGCAGTTTTACAGTTTTGATGTCCATGTCCACTTCCATGCCTTTTCCATGTCTTCTTTCCTCAGCCCAGTCAGATCAGGGCTGTGTCTGTCCCTAAATAGAGTTCAATGTTTCCTCTGGTTTACAGTGTACCTGTTTGTCTCTTGCTTGCACACTGTGATTAACTGATAAAGTGAGGATATCATTCACTCAGCTGCAATAAGCTAACAGCCAGAACAAAAAAATTCCAACTCCAAGTCATTTGTTTAGTATCTAAATAGATAGGTATCAGCTGCTTCTGTTTGGCTAATGCTTAACAAACTTCTTCGGACTTTTATGGTAGGAAAACAAAGGCATGTCATGTCACCACGCCTTTGTCACAGGGACACATTACTCCCACCTCAGGAAGAATTCTGCCCTAATCAGGTACTTTCTGTTAATAATTTCAGAGCTGGCATGCAATATTCTTTCAGCCCATTTTAAGACTGAGTTAGAGGCATGTTCACCTGTCCTGAGGAGCTGGGTCAAGACTTGTTGGGAGTGCAACTGCGCTCTGCAAATAGAGAAATCTGCATTGGTAACAGGGGCACTAAAGAGCTGTGTGTGATGTTCTTGCTATGGCTGGTAGGAGACATCACCTTTTGCCCCATATTCTCTGATCCTTCCTTAAATGGCAGCAGAAAGCAGGAGACAGCAATTGGTGTTTGGACTTGTAAGCAGTGGGACTGTGGTCATTCTTAGGCCATTCAGCGTTCTAGGCAATTGCCTTCTGTTTGGGTCCAAAGCTGCACACTTGATGCTGATCTGAAATAAAGTACTTTTTTGCACAGTGGTCAGCTTCTTCTCCATTACACTGATGCAAATATAGAGTAACGCACAGAAGTTGATGAACTTATTCTAAATATATTTCCCTTAAAGTTTGCACAGCTGTTCTTCCACTGATGTTCTTCTCAGCACCTTCTGATCTCCTGCATTTTGTGGCTGTGTTTGGGATATGTGCATCTAGTGCTCCAGATCCTCATTAGTATAAGTTGGATTAGCTCTTTATCTTTTATAGAGTTGCAGTGACTTACAGGGTCTTCAAAATACAGGAAGAGGAGGATGTTAAAAACCATTTCCTCAAACGGTTCTGATGAAAAAGCATTATTAAAAAACTGGATCCCAGTGTTAGTGTAAAAACAGATCAAATTCCAGATTCAACCTTCATCTGGAGTTTTGCTGGACTGTAAATCTCCCTCCTCTCAATTGTGAGCACTTTCTCTCCAGTTCCATGTGATTCACCTTTGTCATTGTAAAATACACAACTCAAGAGAAGCAAGACTGACATGGAGGAGTTGCAGATTAAGATGCAGCTTGGTAGTTGTATTTTAACAGATTACTGTAAAACAAGAACAAAGGGATTTAGCTGGCTTTATTCCACAGAGTAGTGGTGCTTATTTTGGTCTTAGGCCATCGATGAGTCACAAACATGAATTTTGTGCAGCATAAAAGCCCATTATTCTTTTTTCCCAAATTCTGTGAATTAATTCAAGTAACCTTGTTTGGGTGTGATGGATGGCTGTATCACATAACCAGACTGCCACTGCAGGGAAGAGGTAAGGTTTGTAGCAAATTGCTAGGAGACAAAGATCTTTAAACCACTAGCACTATCTAGTCATTTAGACTTACTAATGAGTTGTATGGGACTGACAGGATCATGTTGTTGTGACAGTGGGAGGTGAGATATTTCTCGTACTGGAGGAAAAGAACATTTTCTTCCAGGCAGTCATCATCACAGCTGTCTAGCTTGGGCATAAACCGGAAGTGTTTCATCCAGGTGCTGACATAAGTCCAAACACCAACCTTCCTGTGTGCAATCAAGCATCAAGCTATTGTCCTTGTGCACCTTAGAATACTTGAGGGGTTTGGGTTGCTGCTTTCTTTAAATTTTAATAATTATATTTAACTTTGAGGTAGGCTACAATAACCATGATTAAAGCAATTGTTCTGCTCAGCTGGAATGATTTCTGATCATGCCCTAGCACAATGCTGCAAGATTTGAAATGCAAATATGTGGGAGGGAAGAAATGTTCTTTCAATAACTTTTTTATTTCTATTGGAAGAAAACAAAAAGTTCTTTATAAAAACCCAAGCTGAGGTCAAATATAAGCCAGCAATTTCTCATAAATATTGGATCTTGCTGGTAATGAGCATCACCTACCTGTGTGGACAGTTTAGGGTTTGGTACTTAAATCCTGAATTAGGAGTGAAGAATTAGTAAATTAGCTGTTTGCATCAGAACTATTATCCTCCCTTTCCCCTTTCTGTTCTGTTCCTGTCCTGTTATCATTCTTCAGTCTCTGGATTCTTGGATTTTTTGGTTATTTTTGCTCTTATTCATTTTAACCAGTGAAGCATATTATGC